CTAACGTAGATTTTGCCCCAAACGCCATGAAGGCAAAGACTTCCAAGAGGATCTAGGATGGTATGAGTGTGAATAACCGGTGCCCCTCCCTCGCGGCCGTTAACAGTTCCTCAACTCCCGTTGACTTTCTGGCATTACTGTCAGCAGTCAACCATAATTCTTCCCTGCCGGTGGCGCCACACTCCTATCCGTTGCTTTGCGGATACTTATCACCTTGCACTCCAGAAAGATCATTCACATTTTCAACCTAATTATTTTCCTGTGTTGTCCGATATTCTTCGAAAACTACACTGCTTTCCTGTTAGTTGTGAAACTATTACATGTCCTAACTTATTTTTTCTACTATGTTCGTCTGTTTGGGCTCGACTACGCTGGTTGAGGGTCGTTCGTCTCTGATCAGTAGGAATAGCGAGCGGGATTAAGAAGAATGTCATCGGCTGCAAGGTAATGGCGTCGGCTATCTACACCCATTCCATGCCACATAAACACAAATGACGCATATTGAAGGATGCTAGCAAAACGTCTGTTGAATTCGGCGGTACATTGCATACCTCCGTGTTATCTTTACCGCCTACATTTTGCCTTAGAAAAACCAAGCTAGGACTTTCTAACTCTTTCGTATTTAATTCCTTCATTAATGCTTTAGGGCTTTTCAACTGTCCGTTTATTTCAGTTCCTCTGTAGAAATTGTATCTCCTACTGATAAAGTTGGCAAGTACTTACTAAACCAGTCATTTTCTCTCCGTCTTCATTACTGTCCGAAGGGGCGCAGGCTTTTTTTCGCGTAGGATCACACATGTTTTGTAAACAGCCCTTATGAAAAGAGTTTGATAATTCAGATGTTTGAAGATAGCCGAGCAGTAAGGTATTGCACATGATTAGCTGCATAGATTCCAAATGTACGTTGCTATGTAATTTCGCTGCTCCTCAAAGCATAATGACAATCGTCCTGTGTTTGGCTGCAAAGCTAGGTGGTGCCGTCAAGAGTGAGAGAACTGACTCAAAGCTGAACAATGCAAGACATTAAAACAGCCTAAATGGTCGTGCTTTAATCTCGCGATTTGTCATCTTGCCTTGTTCTATCAGTTTAAGTGGAATGTATTGCGCGAGAAGCTACATGACACCACTTTACCTGTCTTCCTTTAGAATATGCATGAGTAGCTTTTTCCAAAACTGCTGGTTTGAATCTTCGACAATCTTAATATGGAGAGGTGCAGAATCGTTTCTTCTGCTTGCTCTTGTTTACGACTCGGATGCTGTCCGATCGGGTACTACTGTCTCTATTTAAATGTGGAGTTAATGGTTAAAATATGCTTCTTCGATGCTCTTCATTCCTTTTCAGGCTGATTCTGGGCCTGATTTTTAGATACTCCCGCTGACCAGGACAGGCTGCGGAATACTTCTGGCGGTGGTATGTTTTTCGATTGCCACTAGTTTTCACTGTTTAAGTTGGATGTTTGTTACTGAGTACCCGTTTTTGTCTAGATGAGTCTCTACAATATTTAACGTAGACAGCAAACACAACAGACCGACGTCTCCTAAGCCTCATCGACATAATTTCAAGTCCTGTAGTGAATTACATGATGAATTTATGGGACTTTTTGAAATTTATGAAACAGATCAACATTGGGCGCGGAATAATTTAAAAAATAGCAACTAGGGCCCCTCAAGTTCAGAAATTCATATTGAGAGCCGCAGGTACATGTGAACTAGTTTTACTTGCAAAACATGACTTTCAGTAATGCTATGACTGAACAGTCTGGTATGACCCGCGCATATTACTTACTTGTACTTGTTACGGCTGTGATCATG